AACAAGTGCGAATGATGTTTCCACTCTTTTGCCGTTGCCAATGACAATCTGCTATTTTTATAATATATTAGTATTATTAGAATATATTATTAGTATATCTGAAGTACAGAGCTCCCGTTGGGATTCGGCTTGCTCTCTTGTTTATTACGTACAGTACATCACCTCAGTGCAGAGGGGTATTTACATTTATTCAAGTGTTGTGCAAATCATGGCTTCTAAAAAACAGAAAGGTGATTTCAATTGAAACAAAGCAAGAAATCGTCAGAAGGAGTGAAAGTTGACAAAAACTTCCTTGTCAAATGGGCAGAGGTTCAGGAGTTTACCAACACTCATTATCCAAACAGAGCTGAGGCCAACAGGATCAATGATCTCTACAATGACACCCTTGCCCGTCATTTCCGACAAGTGTTGAAGAAGAGAGAAACACACCACCTTGGACATGATGTTTTCACGAAGCCAGCTGTCAAAAAACAAAGGATGAAACAAGAGGAGTTTACCCTGCAAGCTCCGGTAGCCTCTTCTAAATCTGACTCCGATTAAAAAACAATAAAGAGAGACCTGCTGTAATGTGTAAAAAGTCTGTATCTGTATGAATGTATCAAAAAAGTGTTCCTTCACCTGCTCACAACATCTGACTACTCGGCATAATTGATGACTGCTCCATTTTCATTTTTTTATGCTGTGGAACAAATTATATGCTTTAACATGTATTTCTATGGGAAAATGCGTTTTTATAACGGACTTTTCACTTAATGGACATGCACCTGGAACGGATTAAGTACGTTATACGAGGCACCACTGTACTTAAGTAATTAAAAATTACACATCAAAACAGATTATTTTCATAATACAGTAGAACCCTGATTATCCAAGATAATATGGATCAATGCTATCCCAAATAACTGAAAACTTAATGAGCAGATTGTCACAGCCATTTTGAATTAAAACTTACAAATATGAAAGATTTATATATGATGTGTCATTTTTTATATCTCTTTATACCTTAATGAATTTGATTATATATAAAAATGATTTTTACATTTATTATACAGCTAACATTTACAATATATATAATAGTTTATATGTATAAACTATTAATACTGTATTTTCACAGAATGACCAGCATGCCACATAAAAACAGGGTTGACTAGCATGCCAGAAACCCCAGGATTACTAACATTCTGGTTAAACTGCGACTAAAATATAAAATTAATTACATCTAACAAAACTAGTTGTTAATTAAACATTAAACAAAAACATTCTTCTACATACAATAAAATAACAACATTGTAATTTGACTGACTTAAAATCAGGAAGAGAGTTTTCATTTACAAGACAATGAAACAATTAACAACTAATTGACATTAACTGTAGTAGTAGTAGTAGTAGTAGTAGTAGGTCAGTGTGGGCTATACAAACAATCTACCCCAAACTTAAAAATAACACTATCCTCTCAAATTTCACACAAAGCCAATGTTAATTGATGTAAGCTGAGATTTGTAAGTTTTACAGCCATTTTCTTAAATTTAATACATTTTTTTTTTCAGTTTTGATAAAACAATAAAACACACACAAAAAAAGCACTTTAGAATTCCAAGAGTATTTTATGTCCTTAGAAAAAATACAAAATGAATAAATTAAACATATAATCGTAGTTTTTGATGTAATGCTGACAGTTTCACAGTTTTAAAATAAAACTCATTCATTTTTACATCATGTAACTCATTCTTTTTTTTAATGTGCCCTATAGAGAGAAATGTATAACCTCACTTAAACCAGCATGTCAACTTTTACCGTATGGAAATATCTGATTTCCTGGTCGAACCCAAATAAACTGGCAAGCCAATCATTCTGTGAAAATACAGTATACAGGCCTGGGAGTACCATTTCCCCTTTGAAAAAGTGAGAAAAGTGAGGATACTTCAGAAAAGTGAGTACAAGTGAGAAAAGTGAGCGACTCCGAGACCTGAGTATATATAAACGATTATTTATATATAAATGTGTATTATTATAAATTACATTTTAATAGAAATGGTTTGTCTTACATTAAAGTTAAATGATAAAAAGTAACAAAAAGAAATTTTGTAATACATGTCATCATTCAAGCTTTCTTCAAAAAGACCTTGGAATATTTTGTTCTATAGTAGTTCCTCTCTTCTTTTTCTCAATGTTCTGCAATCATTTCAGCATCAGCTTTGTTCCTACCCCCCTCTCTCTCTTTCTATCCTGTGGGCACTATATAAAGATCATTTTTCCCCATTCCATTGTAGGTTCAGGCCCACATTGGGACAACTGGGTGATGAAAAACTAAAATGACATATCCAGGACAGACCACTCAAAAATTCCTGGGATTTTCTGACTACTAGGTCCCAGAGCAATAGGCTGAAGCCTTAACTTCCCTGATAATTCAGTCACCAAGTATCAGCCACAAGATTAAAAGTACAACAGTATTTATATGCTCCATGCTTCACAGCAAAGCTTTTATAAATTAGAAGAAAAGTAGTGCATTCACTGACAGGTTTGCCTTGGGACCTATGCGAGATAGTGGTCAGAAAATTAGAAGCTAAGGTCGTAACACTTTTTGATTAACATTAGGACCATCTGATCCTATCATCAAAAGTTTGTGTAGTGACAGGTTGGCATCATCGATAGCTTTGATAATGTATGTATGCAATGTTTCTGCATCTGCCCGTCCAAGAAAGCATGTATTTAGGTGTCTGCAGACAACTTGTTCTTTTTGCTCAGACCAAAATCTAATCATTATCTGTAACTCTTTCTTACTTTCCGCATTGATGGTTTCATAATAAGTAACTGTAAAAAATGAAGAGTGGATTTCTTCTAGCATATTTTTTTTGGAAGCAGGGAGCCAATGCTTCAGTTATTAAATAGCGCAATTTCTTCTCACTCATTGATATTCCTTCAGGAAGTTTAGTTTTTGGAAGCATTGCTTGTAGNGCTGCAAGGACCCACTTCACTGGGTTTTTATTTGTGGGCAAAAAGTGATGATAGTGAAGATTAAGATAATTACATTATAGCCAATCTTACCCATTTTCACAGAATGCAAGAATTAGGTCTCCCGTTTCCAGACTAATTAGAGAATTTTTACGTCCAGTCAAACAAACTATTTTCAATTTGATCAATTTTCTGGAACGTTTACAATTGTTCTATAATCGAACCAATTCGAATTTAAATTTGAATATGAATTCGAAAATTTTTTAAATCGAAATAGAAAATCTTCCACTTTCAACCACTTTCAAGCCCATATCTCCCGCACCCTTATAGCTATCGAGACGCAACCACCATAGTGCACGAATGGAGACTTGGGACTACTACCACATACAAACACCATTCATGTGCAATGTATAATTTTGGCTGAAAAGTGAAATATAGGGACACACACGTCCATTTATATATATATATATATATGTAGATAAACAAAGCTATCTTTTTTTAAAATTTGTAAATAATCATGTTTTTTTTTACCTTACTAAATTCCACATTTCCAAGATGTAATACAGCTGACAAAATCCCAAGCAGTCTAAAAAATATTAAAAAATAATTTAAAAATTTATTATAAATAAAAAATTACTCATATATCATCATAAATATAGTAATTAGATTATTTATTTTAATCATCATTTCATATTAAAGTTTCTAGTAAAAAATATAAATTTATTAAAAAAATATTTATCACAAATGAAAAATTAAAAGGTGGTTTTAAATTAGGATATTAAAAACTTACAACTAATAAATTTAAACAGAGTTTAAAAAAAGAAAACAAAAAACTGAAAATGTTGGCATTTTGAAATTTTTTATTATTAATATTTTAACAGTTTTTACTGATTTTAATTTTATTCTTTAAAAAAACTCTTAAGGGCTCTCAAAATTAAAACACTTTTAAAAACATTATAATTAACACAATTAAAAAAAAAACATATCATAAAGAGGAACTTAATTCAATCTACTAACAATTCAAAATTTACAAGAATACCAAGTATTTTTTAAAAATTCCTTAAAAGAAATATCAAAAATAATGTTTTATATTAATAATTTTAAAAATTTATATTAAATTTAAAAATTCAATATAAATTTTGTAAACCAGCATGTACACTATTAATATAAGTATTAACAGTTTTAGATGGGATTATATAATACTAGCAGACCCTGCCATGTATTGTTGTGGCTCAAAATGTATCTATTCTAAATGTATAACACTTCACCCTAGGGGGAAATTTTTCGAAAAATCCCTTCTTAGTGTACATTCTCTTGACGTACCCTATTAAAACATAATCAAAATTGCAAAAAACCGCATCTAAAATAGTATAATAGAAACCAAGTTCTTCACGGTAAGCCTTAATCTTGTCCCTCTCCCCGCAAGGGGAATATCGAAAAATCCCTTTTTAGTGTATATTCTGTTGATGTACCCTATTAAAACGCAATAAAAAACGCCAAAACCGCATCTAAAATAGTATAAATAGAAGCAGAGTTCTTTACGGTATGCCTTAATCCTGTCCATCTCCCCCAGTGGGGGAAATTTCGACACCTATGTTAAACACGTGCGTATTCGAATGCAGCGTTGTGTCAAAATTTCAAAGGAATCGGTAGGAACAAACGAACATTACATTTTTATTTATATAGATAGATAGAAGATGATCTGCTTTAGTTCATTCTCACAGAAAATCAAACTTAGGTCATTGTACTTGTAGCGCCATATGTTGGACATAAAAGCCTTAACTCTAGATGATATCTTTTAATTTATATGAATGTTTAACGAAATAATATACAGCCTATGTCCACCCTGAAGTTCCATTCTAAATATTGGTGAAAGAATTTTTGAAATCGGATGAGTAGTTTCGGAGATTACACCTACATCCAAACTTACGAACATTAAGTTTTACAAATTACAAACATAAAGAGGTAACTCTTTATAATATTAGTATTGATGATAAAAGAAACAAATAAAATTTTTATGTATTTTATGAATATAAAAATCAGAAATCAAATCAGTACAAACAGTTTTATAAAAATTAGTGTATTATTAACATTGATATATTTAATGAATTTTATAAAAAATTTTTGTGTTTAAAATACTTTAACACAATTTAACAATAAAATAAAACATTCATATGACAATCACCAAAACCATGGTTATTAGCAATACATCTGACAAATAATAAGAACTGAGAAGTTGGTGTTAGTAATAATAATAATTATGTTTAAAATTTTGTTAATGTAATATATAAATGGCTTGCTGTATGGTATATTACAAATTAAATCCGTCTCAAATGTAAATTTACATTTACATTTGAGATGGATTTACATTTGTAGTACAATATTGAAGTACAATAATTCTCCGTGGTATGATCATACAAATAACAATAATTGTAAAATTAACTGTAATAATATAAAAAGTTTGCATTTTGAAAAAGATCTTTATAAAAGAAAATTTAAAGAGCATTTAGAAATAAGGAAACAAAAAAATAATTTAATAAATAACTCAGATGGTATGCAAATTGATTACNATCATACAAATAACAATAATTGTAAAATTAACTGTAATAATATAAAAAGTTTGCATTTTGAAAAAGATCTTTATAAAAGAAAATTTAAAGAGCATTTAGAAATAAGGAAACAAAAAAATAATTTAATAAATAACTCAGATGGTATGCAAATTGATTACCGCTGGTACGAATTAATAGATGATGCTAAAACAAGTTAAAACATGGTATAATTATTTGTAAAAAGTCTTCCATAGTAATTCTAATACTGGTATATTTTTAATAATATTGTCTGTGTATCAAAAAACTTTTACATACGTATGTCAATTTTTACTATGTTAACAATTTTTTACTATGTCTGTTATATACCCATGTGTAAAAAAATTTAAATGATTTTGAGTATTATGGAAGTTTGTTTGTTGGAAGTTATGGTTGTTTAATTTTAGATGTATATTAATATGGAATGCACAATTTTATGTTTAAATACAGGTTAAGAATGAGGAAGGTTTGCTCTCCCAATCCCTATTTTGAAAACAAAAAAAGAATTTTTTGTAATTTACATAATGTGGAAATGTAAGTGTTTTTTATAATTTAGTTTGTTTCTATGGTATAACATAGTCATGTTTTAATATTTCTTGTTTATTTGAACTAGCACTGAGGAGGGATTGGAGTACATTATACCAACCAAAAATATATTTGTAGTTCAATAGAAAATAAAAAATAATTTGCTAACCAGAAATTGCTGTGAGATACATCTACCAAAGTGTATTTTTTTGAATTACAGAGACAGATTTACATTTGTTAATGTAATCAATTAAACATTTATTCAAACACAACCAACAACAGACTTATCATATTCTAGCCTATGTTCATCCAACAATTAAACTTATTAACATGCAAAAGACCAGTATGCAATTCAACAACAAAAAACAATGTTGTCTTCCTCAGCTGATTTTAATTCCACAACTTTTTTCTTTTGTTGTCGAAATGCACACTAGTCTTTTGCATGTCATTAGATTTAATTGCTGAATGAACACAGGCTAGAATATGATAAGTCTGTTATTGGTTGTATTTGAACCAGATGTTTAATTGATTATCTAAAATACAGACAAAAGGCATTTGATATTTGTATATATATATATAATACTATCTTAATATTAATTTGTGTGTTTTGAAAATGTTCTTGTAAAGAAGATCAGTTCTGAAAGCTAATAACTAATTGACTTTTTAATTATTGTAAAAATCATTTTTCACTAATGTGTTGGGTGTTCCAGTTTGTTGTTATGTCAGAGAGGTTTACCTCAAAGACAAATGCTATAAACATCTCAACTGAAGAGGGCTTAGAATTTTTAGTAAGCCAAAATGCATTTTGATAATTTATAATAAGGAATATTGTTAAGTAAAGAGGCATTTTTATGGTCTCCAATTCAATTAATTGACCATTCATTTTATAGAAAGTTTTTAATTTTATGTCAAAGCTTTTGAATTAAAGATTGTTTAAAATTGGTAATATGGAAATTTTTCAGATCAGTAACAATAAATAAATGTTACACTAACATATACATTACAATTATTTAAACATCTAAAATTTTAAATACATTAAGTTCTTATATCAACATCAAAATTATTGTTTTAGGTGTGTATATATACAATTATCAATAATCATCACAAATAATATAATTAACAATCAAATTATTTTTTAAAGAAATAAAAATAAAATAATATTCAGATACTAACCCTTTTTGTTTGTCTGGTGTAAATCCAACCATTTCCATTGACTGTTTAAGTCTGTTGAATTCATATGCTTCATCAACTCCTTCCACTTTAAAACAATCACTCTGAAAATGTTACAAAATTATATTATATATATATATACATATATGAGTTATTTATTCTAAATTAGGTTTTAAACAAAAGTAACTTTATAAATACTATGCTATAATTTAATATAAAAACTATATATAATCTATGACTATTTTAATTAAACAATTCTTTGTAATAAAACATAAAACTTACCTGATTAAGATAGTAATAGTCTTTAGATTGATGTAAATGAAACAAATTTCTTTCAGCATCATTTGCTCCTTCCAGCATATAGTAAAATACATGATAATTTCTTTCATTTTTAGACTGAGATATAATTCTTGATTTTTCAAGTAAATATTTTTGAACCAAAGCTCTAAAAGTAATAATAGTAAGAAATTTTTAAAATAAATATTTATACAAATATAATTATTAGGACTATAAAAAAATTAATTTTTGAAGGAGCATATTTATTAAACCTCTTGTTTAACTTTTATTCTGATACAAAACTCAAAATATACACGAAAACAATCAAAATGCTGACTTCCTGAATGTTTCTAATCTCATAGCTTTAAAAAATAAATAAAAAATTTGATAAAATTCTGACAATAAATTAAAAAGTAACACTAAGAAGAAATAACCTCATATTTTAGTTTATATGAAATTACAGTTGTCCCTCTATAGTCCGACATTTTTTAATCCGACATGCTCAGTAGTCCGACGCACCCCCCGTCAAGGTACACGTCCCCGTTACGTGTCTGCTTGCACAGAAGCATGTCGCGATGTGAATCTCCCCATCCAATTTTTACACGATGACACACATTTCATGTGTTTTATGTGAGCAGTTCTGTTCGAACAGTTGAAGTAGAGAATATTGTAAGTTACTGCTAGCAAAACAATGCGAAATATGTAATTATTTTCGGTAATCCGGACACTTTTGGTAATCTGACACACCTTTGGTCCCATACCTGTTGGATTATCAAGGGACAACTGTATTTATATTCTTCTATTTACTCAAGATGAAAACTATTTCAGATTTTTATTATTATTATTATTATTATTTTGAAATTTTAATATATTATAAAATTTAATATCATGTATAAGCAATATAAAATAACTAATAGGTATTCAATATCAGAAATTTCTTTATTAATTAATATATTACTATTCTACATAAATCATAATATAAATTAAACAATTATTATTAATTTTTAGCAAATTTATTTGTTGGCATATAACGTTTATATAGAAACTCATGATATAGCTTAGTCAACATTCTATATACATATTAATCTTTCATATCAAATTTTGTTAGATTAATTAATAAGGGACAGTCCATTAATTACATGTAGTTTTTGAACTATTTTTGATCCCCCTCACTCTGTAGTATACAATTATGTACTTTTGACAAACCCACTTTCTTTAATTATATGTACAACAGAGTTCATGGACACCTTACATTGAAGAAATTACCTTTTTAAAGTTCTGAGAATATATACTAATGTGAGATCTGGAATTTATTAAAGAAAATCTTGCTCTTTTATTAATTAAAATTTTAATTAATTCGTTTTCGTTTATGTAACAAATTAGAAGAAAAAATGATCTTAGCCAGGAATATGTAAACCTTCCTGTCATAACTATTAACATCTATTGTTCTCTGCAGAACTTGTGGCTCATCTTGCAGAAAAGTTCTTGGTTATTATAGAAGTAAGTCTGAAAAGTTTATAGTTAACATCCAACTTTCGTCACTTGTTTTAGGTCCCTGGGACACCTATAACCTTTAACTCATGAACCTCCGATCATGTGGTGGAAATTCCCCACAAAAAGCTATAAAAGACTGTTCTTACCCCCTCTTGGGGGAGAGTCTCTTAACCAACGCCGGACCGACGACATCATGCCGATTCTCCGAACCCGCCAACATTCCAATCTACAATATCTGATCATCGCCAAAGTCACGAACTTTTTATAATTGTGCTCTTTGGGATAAAAGACACCATTACTTGGACATTTAAGTGCCTACATGGACTTACTCGCCTAGGAATCATCCAAAGAGGTATGAAAAGGCATGTAAACTCTCTCTCTCGCTCTTAGGAGGTTTTAGAACGCAATTGGTGTAGTCTTTGTCAATTTTTGGTTTATTTCAATAAATTCTTGTTTTATATTTGTTAAAAATGGTAGACTCCTTGACTCGTATATGCCTTTCACCTTAACGTCGACCCCAAATTCTCTCCCTCCACTCGCCTGACTTGTCATCCTGACTAGTGATACAGAAACGGGAGACCTACGACCTCCCCTGCGGTTCACGTGTTGGTGTCGCGGGGTCGGGGTTTTGAATCTAGAAACCCCTAGTATCTCGCACTAACATATGATTTAGGCCTAACAACATGCCTACATAATTTATAGTTAATATGATCAAAAGAGAGTAATAACAAAGAACAAAGTAGTTAAGAAATATTGTTTTGCCTTCTATTGATACTTCCATCCATATTTATATTGTATTATTTATGTAAGCACGTTCCTAGTTAAAGTCGATTTTGGTTTTAAAACAACAGGAAGATTGGGAAACATTGGAGAAGCAGAGCAATGTACTGACATGCTTAAAAGAAAAAAAATATACTACTGAAAATTAGAATATATCACTATTAATTATAACTAAAACAAATGCAAATATTGCTCAAAAGTATCAAACATTATATTGAAGCAAGAAAAACCATCTAAGATGGTATCCAAAAGTTTACATTTTCAGTGAGCAAATACAAAAATTTTGCTTAGAAACCATTTTGTATAAACACAATCTTTTTTCAGTGGCGAATATATACAATGTATATTTTATTTACTTTTGCCCTTTCCTTTTGTTTTGAGGTCATTTCAATAAACAGAAAATATTATATCTAAATTGAAACTGAAATTTGGTAAAAGAGTAAGTTCACATTTTGAAGCAATGAACACTTTCTTGTTCCATCCCATCTAAGATAGAAAAACTGCTTAATCCAGAAAGTTTGCAGTCTTCTGCAATTCCAGCATTCAGATTTTTTTGTAGTCTAAACTTCTACTAATCTGAGAAAATTACATTGATTTAATTTAATTTAATTAATTTGATATTGATATATCCAGATCTAGACTATTAAATTATTATTTTTGCTTTGTTGTTTATATATAAAAATTAATAAATTCATGCATACATATATCCTGTTGTTCATAAATTTGTATAAATAATGTATGTATGTAAAATTTTGATTAATCTGTAAAGTCTAAATTTCATACTGTTATCTGTATTTGAACTTATTATTATAAATACAATTAATGTTTAGGAAATTCATATGTATATTTATATAAAATAAATATAAACAACAAGAACATTTTATATTTATGTTGTATAATAAAGTAAAATACTTGTAATGAGGTCAATAATTAAATACATTCACATATTTACATACACCAATTCTTATTTATATTCTATATACAAAACTGAATGATAAGACTAACAGGACAACTTTTTATCATGATACAACAATTTTTTAAATTATAACATTTACATTTAAATGGTATATGGAAGGAATAAATTAAGAAAATTTGGGACTTGTTATATCAAGGATAATTTAACTTGAATTTTCATTAGTGTTTTGAAATCATTAAAATTAATTCCACAGACACTGAAATTTTAATATCTAACAAAGACATAAATAATCATAATAATTATAGTAGTAACTAGATTTAATTTACAAAAATTCAAACACATATTTCTTGTTTTCAATTTAAAAAGTAAAATAATTATACTGTATATAAGCAGTGGTGATATTCGAAATATTTAACAAAGGGTTCGCTACAGAAAATTTTTCCTTAAGAAATTTTTTTCGCTTGCATTAGCAATATTAGCGCAAAAACTGACCTTAAGATACCCATATAAATAAAAAAAAAAAAAATGCGTTCGCAAAATTAAGTCAGTTAAAATTAAACATTGTTTATGCCAGAACTATATTTTTTGATAAATAATAAAAAAAAAGTTTTCAAACTGGTTTATTTTGTACATGTTTTAATATTTTTCATTCAAAATATTTTATAAACATAAAAATTGGCGCTTTTTAATCAGAAAAAGTCATAGGGAAAGCAGGTTTAACTGCTTTCCCTATGACTTTTTCTCAAGAAAAAACTTTTCTAAATCATTTATTTTATCCTTAGGTATTATCATAATAATAGACAGATGTCATCGTTTCTCGAAATACGATATTTTTTTATTTCGCTGTCGATAGCACGACACGTGTTCCGCAGCCATCTTGTATTTTCTCGCGCGCGTGGGATCTCTCGTATGACTGGACCTAGTTTCAAGAACTCTCTTGAGTCGATTGCGACTAAATCTGGTTTCAGTCGAGATTGAAACGGTCGATGGAGGTTGCACCAAGGCGAACGGGGTATAAGGCTCTAGTTTAGTAGTGTTACAGAGTATAATACGTATATTTTAATATATTTTGTAAAAGAAACAAAACCATTGAGAAATGTTACGTGTGTTTAACAACGGGTTCGGAAAACTTTGAAAATGTTAACAACGGGTTCGGCCGAACCTGTGCGAACCCGCTGAATATCACCACTGTATATAAGCATGTATGCAAATATATATATAATAAACTCCAAATACCTTTAAAATGCAGTCTATTTTAAAAACTTGAAAAACGTTTCTGTCAGATTAACAGACCTTTTTCAGGATTGAACTAACAATTTGCCAAACGGAAATTCCAAAACATACGTTCTATAATCTTCTCATGTTCAATTGCATATAAGAAAAACACGACAATATTCCAAATTCTAAGAAATGACAAAACACCCGTAGACAGGAGGCTGGTTCCAGGTGTGTACAGAATACAATTGCATGATAAGAGGCTGAAAAAGGAGATATATTATATAGGAGCCACAAAGAGATTGTTAAATGAAAGATTGAAAGAGCACGAAAAGAATATAAGATTTAAATAACCAGTCACGGCTTTGGCTAATTATGCAATCGCAGATCCAACAGAGATTGAAATCAAATGGAGCAAGGCAGATGTCTTCTATTTTCAACCTTTTGTATGACATCTAAAATATGCAGAAGCCTGGCACATTTACAAATACAGGGAAAAGGGCAAAATATAAATTTTCGAGAATCAAACAAAATAGCATCAGCATGGAAAGCGGCGGTGTTACAATTATAAAAATGGAACCGTGCAATTGAATATGAGAAGATTATAGAACATACATTTTAGAATTTCCGTTTGGCAAATTTAAATTCTGTTAGTTCGATCCTGAAGAAGGCCTGTTAATCTGAACGAAAACATTCAACAAGTTTTTAAAATAGACTGCATTTTAAAGGTATTTGGAGTTTATTAATTGATTTTAGTAATGCAG